TTTGGGGTTTCAGCAAAAAAACCACACAGCGCGCTCATCAAAATCGGGTTCAATTTTTAGATAACTTACGGATGAGAGCCAAAATCCCATTATTTCAAGAGTGTTAAAAATCTGTAAACCTTCGGCGGTAAAAAACCGGAACAATTTGCACCCCTAAATTTTTGGGAAATGAAATTTCAAACTCGACACTTGCTGATTTTTTCCGAGTTTCAGGCCGCACACTACATTGGCTCTCTGGAAATCTACCTCGCGCCCTACGATTTTGGATTTTAGAGGAAATCATCACACGAGGAGAAAGGGCGGGGGAAGAGGGAAATCAAGGAGGAGATTTTGTTATTGTTTGCATTATTAAAAAGGTATTCAAGACATAGAATCTTGAGACTCGTCGAGACCGGTATTTAAATAATTTATGAATGATTTTCGGAGCTGAGAATTCATTTGATGGTGGACTCCATAAATCAAAGGCGCGAATAGCTTACACAAGAGAGAAATGAGGGAGGGAGAAAATAAGATGAACGATAAACTACTGAAGAATGCTACATTTGAGACCAGTTTATTCTCGAAATAAGTTGCTTCGTTCCAATTTTTCTTTGATTTATTGATTTTATATTGTCTGCTCCGTTCTTTCGTAATCGTGTATTGCATGTATTCCAATGGTTCAATATCCATTCTGCATGGATTTCTTTGGTATGTGCCCCTTAAATTCACATTGATAAGTTAACAAGTTTTTCCCCCACAATTTTGAGCGAAATATACAATTCTTGGTCGAATATATTGAATGATACGTGACGTTATCTATCTAAAAAGCTTATTTGACTGCAATGAACTAATTTAGACGAATGAGGCTTAAAATGCGGTAGGGAGAAGACGGAATTGAAGAGAAAAGAAGCTCGAATAAGTTACTTATAATCTTCTTGGGATTTACAAAGAAGGGTCACGGTGCAAAATACAAAGGAGGATGCTCAGGGACGTGAGACAACTAGGAGCTAAGAACACTTTTACTTGAGTCCACATGCATAATTGGTTGCGTCATAGCTAATTGTAAGTTATGTAAACACTGGTAGTTGGTGGTGAGCAGGTTGGCAAGAAGACCATTCTGCATGCAAGTCTTGATTGCAAAAACGGGTCGCCTTTGAGAATCAATGGACAGTAGATTCTGAACACGGCATGCTTACAATAAACTCTTCATTAGAATTTGAACAAGAATTGAAATAATCGGGTACTTTTGGGGACAAAATTGCCAGAAAATTGTAGGGAAAAATATGCAACGACAAAGTATTGGAAATTAATCAGCTATCGAATGAATGATTCTTAGTTATGCAATATTTCAAGGCGATGAAAAAATTGACACCTTATACATTTTCATGCAGTAAACCCTTCAGTTTTAATGGTTCCCTATTTTGAGTCCCCCCTCTCAAGTGCGATCTCGAAAAAATGGGTAAAATAAACATTTAGCAATAATCAGTAATAATACGATGATCACATTCTAAAGATACGTAAATTTAAGAAAGTCGCACGGAACGTAGTGATTTGATCGATGGGACACAAGTTAAAACACTCTAAGAGACACGAAAATACACGTGAACACTGAAAACTAATAGATGCTGTGGCATTCGGTGACGTGATCGTGCTTAAATAGAAAATAATACTCATCACGTGTTATGCAAATGCTGACTACGCGTGCAATTACAAGGCACCTGAGATGCACAATATATACAAGCTTGAAATTCCGAAACCACGTATCTCAATTTACGACATGCCAGATTTTTCCAGTAATATTACTGCATTGAATAATATTTGTTTGCCTTTTGAGAATACTTATTATAATATAAAAATATTTCCTTTGATAATGAAACATACTTGAAGAACAGAACAATTAAATTTCGATATTTCGTGATTTTTAAGTTTCTGACGTGGAAAAAAATTTCACCACTTTTTTAAAATTTATTTATTGCGTTTACTACTGTGATTATTAATTTTGTTGAACGTAAATTGTTCATTGGCAGTTTTGTCGAAACACAAAACAGTTTTGTTGCCACAATTCACGGAGCGAATAATATAGTATAGGGGCCAATTCTTACGCTGAGATTCAAGAATTCATAATTCAGTATCAGGTTGTCTTTCCTGACATCATCTTATTCTGTTCAGAGAGATAATCCGCGATCGTGTTGTTGGTGGAAAATTGCTGAGAGACAGGGGACTGTTAAAAACCCCGATAAATTACACATGGGACCGACAGGTAAGACGCCAGGACTTGATGTTCGATCATCTCGTGGCGCAAGTATCGTTATACTTTTTTCTCTTCTTTTTTTATTGATGTCGGCGGATTCATTTTTAGCACACACCGATCGATAAATAACCTCACTTCACACGTCTGTACCGCAACATTCCGGAAATGTTGAATCCACACGCCCATAAAATAGAAAATAATAAAACATGAAAAAGAGAAGCAGCTCTTTCGCGCGAAACACACACCGACAATCGTGATTTCGCAAACATTTCCATGTAATAATCAGACATAATCATATTTTAAGAGGCTTTTCGATGTGCTTCAAAATGCCACAGTTCTGATTGAAATGAGTATCGGGCGCAAATATGCCTATTATTCCTCAAACATATCATTTTTACCCGCCTCCCACTTTTCTGCAACTGACGAAAAATAAGAAGAAACAATTTTCAATCATGAGAATTGGTTGGAGAGATTCACTCTTCTATAATAATTCTTGAGGCTTCTTAACGCGACGATGTGAACACTCTTCAAATGCCACCGGTCGATTTATAAGCAAAATTAACTTTGTCTCTTTGTCCGCAATTACGCATTGGCACCGAACTATAAACATGATTCTGACTCTGTCAGAACAGATTAATCAATAAAATATTAACAAGATACAAGGCTGCTTAGATGTTCAGTTTTATGAGTAAAAATCATCAATGTTTTTAATTTTTTCATCCTGAATAAAAAAGGGGCACGCACCAAGTGAAACAATTTCTCATGATTTGTTATCCATATAAATTTCTACTTCACCTACGTTGATGCTGAATCACTGGTTTGAGGAAAAATTTACAAACAAATTTTAAATAATTTTTCTAATTTCATATCAGGATATAGACATATCAGCCACCAAAACTTAAGTAAAAAATCATGTTTTTTACTAACTTGTTTATCAGTTCATTAATGAGAAAGACTTGAAGTAATCGAGAAAAATAGAGAACTTTCAATTCAATAGTGATTTTCAGACGGTTAATCGTTCCCGTGATGGATTATTGACACCGAAGACTCAATGTGCGAGCTCACGATATAGACAGCCGCGAAGTTGGCTCGATTGCTTATTAACTTTTCTTAATCGGCTAAGTGCACTTCAGCAAAGTTTGGAGCGGCATAGTTCAGATCATATCGTTCAATTTATGGTAGGTAATATTCTGGCAAATTTTGTTATTTATGCCACGAACAAACGTCAAAACAATGCGTCCTTCTATCGATGACACCATCGTATAAGGAACGTTTGAGCTTATTTAAAACCACTGGTGGATCTTTTGCAGATATTCTTTTAAGACATCAAAAACAAAAAGGCGTGCAAATTATTTAACAGTTAGTATAAGTATTTAACAGTTAGTATATGTATTTACTCTACAGTAATTAATGGGTTAATATCAGACAGACACTTCGCGCAATGATTACAAGACCTGATTATTTAGATTTTTCTTCCTATCACTTATTTCCTAAAACTAATCCTTGGGTTTTGAATTCTTGATCATATAAAAATAATTAAAAAGTTTAATATTAATATCGTTAAGTATAAATAATAGAATAATAAGAAAAAAGTAGCCTTGATACCTTGTTCACATGTTTTACTTTCTATCCTGTTTTAAACCTGCAGAGATAATACGATAATGTAATAACAAATGTACAATAACTACCAAGGCTGCTTTTCTCTCATTATTTCATTAATCATAAATTAATACTTTGAATTTCTCGTATGAATTCAAGTATGAGCGAGTTTGTCCTTTTTTACAATGCTCCAATTCGGTACGTGTCAATTCTAAATTATGGCTTTTTACTCTTTTTCTGGTACGTAACATCTGGGGAGGACGAAATCAATCCAAAAATTGTTTTTCTTCCAAGGGATGTGTATGTAATTGCTGAAACTCAAAACCGCATTGATCAGACACACTAAAACGATTTTTTTTAGTCGTCCTACGAGCAGACAGAAGCCTATGAATAAGAAACTGCATTTCGACGATGGAACTGCAAAAACGCATACTTCGGTTTAGAGGTTTTATAATCGCCGCCCCACTTGACATGCAAAGGGAGACCGAATAAGCATATTTACTAGAAATTTTCAGAAAATATTCATCACACAGAGAGGAGAAATCAGCAGAGCTTTCAAGAAATGACATAGAGTTCAACTTATAAAATTAATTTGATACGAATTCTGCAGAGTTTGAAACAAAGATATGCGTTCATACAGTTTCAATGTCGATGTTTCGCCGCACTCAGGTGGCTGCGTTTAAAAACAGCTCTGTGCGCAGTCGAGATGTGAACTGTCGCGTGTTACAGTTGATGGACCACGTGTGAAGATATATCTATACACGAAAAGATTAATTTCGAAGAGAACGAATCCTCACCCGGAAAAAGATAAACTTTTCCGGCAGCGAAACTGGTGAGGTGCGATGGGATTAAAAACAGTTTTGTAAACAGAGCCGCTGATATGATCACCTCACGATTCGAAAGCATACGCTGAGCTTGGATCTGAGGTGACGCAATCTACCATGTCCAGTAAATGCAATACAAATATTCGCAAGGAAGGATCTAGGGACCTGCGGAACCACCGTATTTTATAGCGATTTAATTAGATTTTCTGTAAAAGTGCAGATATGGGTTTGTCAAAGTATGATCCGTGCGAAAATACTAAAAAAATTCAGCTGAATCGGATGACTGACATAATCATTATATGCAGTATCGTCCGTTATTAGTGATTAAGAATCGTGGGAAGTCTTACCTGAAAATCTGGCTAAAAATCGGTAGAACCTTGAAATGCTGGCTAAAACAATTTGAACAAAATCACCTAAGCTAGGCCAAGTCCTAGAAAGTCTACTTTCACAAATTAGATTATCGTTCTCCATAATTGACACTAATTGATTTTTCTTAAAATTGGGAAATTATCTAAATTGAAATACACATTTATCCGGAAGCACTTCGACGGAAACCGGCTTGAAATTCCCGCACGGGAGATTATCACTGGCCGAAAGAACAAAAAGCGAAAAAGACTTTCGCTTAAACAAGTCACGAATGGGGATTTAGCCCCGGAACGTTAAGTATGAATTATTTTCATTCGATCACATTATAAAAACCACTTTATGTCACTTGTACATGATGAAAAACTCATTGAGCGGATCGGATAGATTACATTATCAACCGAAAGTTAATTGATTTACGATAGCCAATCAATCTCAATATCAACGGTCTCCGTCGATTCGAAGTCATGGTGACGAATTTCAAACAATACGCGAACTTTTGATTAAAAATTTGTGTTATCACTCTCGTTTGATTTGCGAACTTGGTTAAAAAATCCCGCACTCGAACGACTATCAAAATTCCAGCTTAGTTTCCACACACCGAACAATTTTCATCCGAAGTAGATGCGACAGGCATTTGGAGATGATTTCAGCGTTTCAGTCGGGATTGTCATGAAGCACGTGTTAAAAACACTATTCGACCTCTTGCAATTCGTTATCAAAAACATCCTGGACGAATCAAAACACGGCGAGGATCGAACCGGCCGTCCGTTGAAAATGCCGCATGTCTTCAATCCAGTACATGCAATTAACACGATTGAAGTTAAAACCGAATCATCCGACACATTTTCACTTGAGTGTATTATGACAATAAAATATATTCCTCCTTCACAGCGGTAAACAGTAATATGCACGCGCACTGTTGGATTAGAAGGACCGATCCTTGGGATTTTAAAAACGGGACGAACTTGATTGAACTTTTCACGCACTTGAACACACGAACGCGAAAACGGGTGTACAGTTAAAATGAGGAAGAGCCATAATTTCGATTGGGTAAAACGAAAGAGGTGTTTTGGAGAGATAAAACTTATCACACGGCGAGACGATAGCCACGGACATGTGGCTACACGGATGGCTCCACAGAGTACTAAACCAGAGGCAGAGCGTGGTTGGGCTCGAGGCGAGCCGACTAGAGGAACACACGCAGCCGAGGACTCTAGACGGAGCGGGGCGACCTCTAGCGGAAATGACCGAAGTTACCGCGCTCTCTTGGCTGCCTCGTTTTGTTCAGCTGCGTAATCGCGAGGATCCTGATCCTGATCCTGATCCTCCTGGAGTCGGAGCCCCGAACGGATCACACAGTCACACATTGATACCGAGAGTGAGGCTTAAGATTTACTCTTAACCTATTAACCGCTTACGCTCACATACACAACTCCCTGTTGTCAAACTGACGCGAAAAAACACCCATCATTTTTCCATGTACCATTCGTCGCTTGCTGATTGTTTTTTCCACAAGAGGTTTTCAGAACATTATTTGGACAGAGAATAGCAGGAGACAGGTTGCCGGAGAAGGTCCTAAAATCCTAGATTGGGTTCCTCCCGGGAGAAGACGCGAAGGGCGCCCAATTGGATGGATTTTGTAAGAAGGAACCAGGAGCATTCCAATGTTGCTGGGATTGTGCAACATACTAGAGTCCCTTTATACTAAGAGTCAAGACAATTCGGCTCATGGATGTCACAAACGGGAATAAAGATTACAGAAATTGAACGTTTTTCGTAATCTTTGATCGGCCCATTCTCAAATGCCTTTCTCCGTTCCTCCTCTCATTCCGTTTGTTCCTTGCCGAACCCGTAATTCCCTGGTCCATTCCAGAGTATAATCTTTGCAATTGGTGAAAATGTAATCTTTATTCCCGTTTGTGACACTGTGGAGGCCTAAAATACGGGAACCAATCAGAAATGGATTCAAATTGTCTTGACTCTCAGTATAAAGGGACTCTACAACATACATGCTTTGCGATAAAATTACTATAATAATGAAACAAATAACATTTTCAAAGGTGATTTTCGTCTTGAATTCATAGTTTATTGAGAGTAAAGATAAAACTTGTATCGATGATCGGTTTATATTTGCAGGGTGAAGAAAGTTGCACGATCTTAGTGACACTGGAATGCTCACGGGTTCCTCTTTGCAAAATGTAATCCAATTATAAGGTGTAGGGATGGGATTGATACAGAAATGCCATGGTGCTCAATTTTCGAGGGGTTATGGTTAGATAAGGGGCAATGGCGTATAGGTGCCGTTGAATGTTTCAAAATTCCCGCTCCTATTTTACGAGTTTTTCCGAACAAGCCAGTCTTTTAGCCATAAATTCATACAGGATATTCTGCTGATAGAGAAGAAAAATCTTAGTCTACTGTTAGAATGCGACATATCTATTGAATGACTCAATTGTTTCGATTTGAATTGGACCGTATTTAGCAAAAAGGAGCCAAGCCACATCAGATGTTGCCGAATTTAACTGGGCAATTTATTGTTTTACAAGACACCGCTTGCGCCGATCCTTTTAAAATTTTGAAGAATTTGCTTCGTGCTATGCAGAAATCTCACTGAAATTTGCACACAAATCAGCACGACCGTTTTCCTTCTAAAAATATCATGTCTAATTTAAGTTTGCATTAGCTGATGCGGCTTGGTTCCTTTCTTCTTAACTGGGTCCAAATCAGTGTTCGAAACTCACAGGCGCCAACGCGCCAAATGTTCCTAAGAAATCGGCAATGGCGCTTAAAAAATGGAGGCTCTGCGCCAGCGTGTCCCCTAAAAATTTACCCCAAAAATCCCAATTTTTCTGTAGGGTGATTTTTTGAAATTTCGACGCACGCACTGAAAAAAAATTCTCGGCGTTTTTACCATGGTCCGTTGGTACCTTTACTATCTCACTTTTTTTACCAATGATTGGTAATTTTACCAAGACAGACTGGTAAGCTTACCTAAAAACCGGTATTTTTACTGTTTTTTTCAGGTAAGAATACCACTTTTATTGGTAATCAATTCCCGGTAACTTTGCCATTTTATCTCGGTAATTCTACCACAGTTGATAAAAAATATTGGCGTTTTTACCGGGGTCCAGTAAAATTACCGAGAAAGTCAATAATTTTGCCGAGATTTCGCGGTAAAATTACCAATTCCATGTATGGTAATTTTACCAAGAAAAAACTGGGATCAAATAGAACCCTGAATTCTTGGTAATTTTACCCTTTTCTGAGTAAATACACCGAGATTTTTTTTTCAGTGCGTCATCGGATTCTGACTTTTCACAAAATGCGCCATGATACGTAGAAAAAAAGTTAATTTGGCCCCTGAAAAATCTTCGATGGCGGAGCTAAATGGGCCACATGGCTCCTGAAACTCAAAGGTGAGTTCTGACACTGAATGGACATTCCTGAGGCTCTTTTTGGGAAAATTTGGCGATGAGGTAATAAAGCGAAACGCTTGAAACAGTGATCGGACGCTAGTAAAAGTGGAGGCAGCGGATGCTGAGGCCAAGGAGCCAGGCAGATCAAAACACGTGAGAACAAATGAATGATGGAAGGATACGAGAGGAGGGGATGTGCTCAATGCGTTGGAGTAGCCGTCAAGGCAAGGCTCAGGCAAAGAGCGAAGCAAGTTCAATCCTGTCTTCCAGGGACCTACATCTTGAGGCCACCGCACCGGCACCGTAGAGAAACGTGGTATAACGCAATCTATCCGCACCGCAGCATCACATCGCGAAATGCGCCAAATACGGCGGCAGGTGCTCCACTTTGGACCGTGATATCACCGTAGAAAGTGATGGGTACGTCGCTCGGTTGGTGCAATACGTTATGACAGAACGAACAGAAATAAAACAGAGAAAAAAATTGGAAATTCGGGATGTGTTTTGAAACTTCAATGCATATAGCTCTTGTTAATTGTGTGCCTCCTGTTGTGTCGTGGTTGAAAGGCTTGCTCTATGATCGGGAGATCTCGGGTTCGATTCCCGGAAAGGTGACCCGGGTTGGATGGTCTCAAACAACGGTCATACGGGGTTGGCTTGATTAGGGACGGAGGGGGCAGGGATTTTAGGGACTTACACTGCAAAATTATCCCTCGTGGGGTATTTGAAGTGGGGGAGAAAAAAGTATTTTTGGCCACAATTTTAGTGTTCCATTTTCTTTCGCTGTACACCTTATCGTGGATTATTTGCGCTAAAATTCTTCTTTTGAAGCCTGAAAAAAGCTTGAAAAAAGTTAGGTAGTGATAAAAAGACAGCATGGCTATATTTACTCCCCAGAGAAAACGACGACCAATGAAGTCTTATTCTGGTTTAGTTAAACATTCGCCTGGTAAACCTGACTCCTAGATTTTCTGGCTAATAAACGTATCTGGACAGTCCATATGTATAGTAGCCACTACGACCAGGATTCTTTCCATGTATAAAGTGAAATGAGTAAATAATTGCTGTTTCCGCATATAATCCATGATTTCAATGTATCCGCATTGATGGAACCCGTTGAAATTAATATTCGATCATATAGGATTATTTCCGACGAAACAATTTCTGAAAATAGAATTCTGAAACACTTCAGGATTTGTAGTGGAGCTTTATAGAGGCTACTTGAACAACGCAGCCGAAGATAGGAGAGGCGTAATCTGACCTCGTCTTTTTAACTTCGCTCCGGAACAGAAGCTATACACCAGCAACATATAGTGGAGCACTGCGAGTTCTTGCCTCGCGCCATCGCGCCTTCAATTTTGCACACGCAACACGGACATCCATCAAGTACGTATAGTTGTATCTCTGCGCCGCAACGCGCTTCCTTTCTCTTGCTGTTTTACCGCATTGTATTTGTTTCCATTCGCTTTATTTGTAGTGGAGTTTCAAATGCTTCGTCAGCAGCACATCCAACAATAGAAGAGACTTAATCTGGCCTCGTATTTATAACTTTTCTCCAGAACAGAAGCGATACCTCAGTAGCAACATATAGTGGAGCACTGCGAGTTCTTGCCTCGCGCCATCGCGCCTTCAATTTTGCACACGCAACACGGACATCCATCAAGTACGTATAGTTGTATCTCTGCGCCGCAACGCGCTTCCTTTCCCTTGCTCTATTTCCGCATTGTATTTGTTTCCGCGCGTCTTATTTGTAGTGGAGCTTCAATGCTACGCCAGCAGCACATTCAACAACAGAAGAGACTTAATCTGGCCTCGTCTTTTTAACTAGTCTTCCGAAATAAGAGCTATCCCTCACGATCAACGTATAGCGGAGCATTGCGAGTTCTTGCCTCGCGCTATAGCGCCTTCAATTTTGTACACGCAACACAGATATCCATCAAGTACGAATAGTTGTTTCTCTGCGCCTGCATCGACACGCTTCCTTTCCATTGCTCTATTTCCATATTAATTTATGTGTTTCAATTTGTTTTTTATAAGTACAGGTTGATCCGAAAGTCCCGCACCACCGACAAATTTTTTGCCCAGTCCGCGGACCTGCCGATATTTTTGCCCGGTCCGTAAACTGAGCAGCCAACTCGCGAACTGGCTAAAATCCGCAAATTACGCGAACGGCCTAGGCCGTTCATTAATCCAGCTGCAATTTAGGCGCTAATCGACGAATGTTCCCACCGAAAAATTTCTGACGAATATTCATCGATATTTATAACTAAACTTAAAAGTATCAAAATAAAAATCGAAACAATTTACAGGTTACGTAAATCTAGGTAATAATTAATTTTTTTCAATATATTTTAGGGGTTTTAATACAAGTTTACTGTTTCTTTACAAACCTGGAATCCGAGTAAACAAAACCGATGAAGGAAAATTATTTTATCGACGGAGAGATGAATGAATTACATCAAACTAACAGAAATTTCGGCGAAAATATCCATCAAATTTTGTTCAGAAATTATTTCAAAAGTTGGAAATCAGAAAATCTACGAAGCCTGAACCTAGTTGAGAAATTTTGCCGTGGTAAAGATGAACACCGTAAGAACATGCACATGTTGCCAAGTTTCTCCCAAGTGTTTCTGCCAAGTGCGCGTTTTCAAGGATATTATTGAATATTTTTCCTTGAAATTTTCAGATATTTTAGATTAATTGCCGACAAAATCGTCCGAAAAATTTGAAAACA